TGCGGGAGCACCAACTGCGGTCATGGTTGATCCTGGGCCTCCTGCGGGAGCACCAACAGCAGTCATTGTAGATCCTGGTCCTACAGCACCAACTGCTGTCATTGTTGAGCGTCCACCTGAAATCTACAATTTAAGAAACGACCGTCAATTCGTGCATTGCTCTTTCAAATTTGGATGTAGGCAGCTCGTAAACATCCTTCACTTAGGACAGCCGCCTTTATCGATGATATTCCAGTGGAGACAAAGTAAAGCCCTGACGATGGAACCGGATGACTGGCGAATCAGGTGAATGTCTAGATGATAGTCTAGCGTTGTTCGCCACCTCCACAAACCTTGCTTTCGCAAAGATATCGCTAACAGGGAGGTCGTTCAGGGTGTGCCAAGCTTTTTCAAAACGGTCTTTTGCATGATATAGGGGCACATATGGGGACCACAGAACCATGGTTCATTTTTCCTGAACGGCCCTCTGAATACCAGAAAAAGGGGTCCCTAGTTCGATTCCTCGTGGTGACAAATTTTTGCATTTCGAGTTGACGTTTCAAAATTCGCGCAAAATGGAGTTAGCATGAATAATTAGTACCATATTCATGATTAGGACCGTCAGTAACCCTTACAAATAGACTTTGATTGAAAAACTGGTGAAAAGGTGTGACTAGGGACCCCCTTTTCTGGTATTCAGAGGGCCGTTCAGGAAAAATTAACCATGGTTCTGTGGTTCCCGCATGTGCCTCTATATCATGCAAAAGACCGTTTTGAAAAAGCTTGGCACACCCTGAACGACCTCCCTTGTAAGTGACTCTCACACCAGTGTACTACCTACGACTCCTGTCACGCAACAGTCCCAAGCTGCATCTCAATCCAGCACAAGACATACTATAGCGTAATAACTTCGTATAGCATACATTATACGAAGTTGCCTCCATTTGTATAAACATTTCAGAAAGGCATGACCATTACAAGCATTTCCTCGATCCTGGAAGCTTTGAAACGCAATGAAATCATCTGTGGAGTTGCACTAGAGCTCATAGCATTCGAAGAACTTTCTGCATAGAATTTTGACCAGTTTTTGTTTGAACATTCTGCACAGCGAAAATCATAGTATGTCCACCTTCCTCAACTGAGCTGACCTAACTTGCTCGTTTCGAAATCGCTAGGTCTTCTGAGCATCAAACACAAATGGCGGCGAAATTCGTGTCATGTGCCTTCCTGTGTTCATGTCCTTTTTAGGAATTCCTCGGCGAACTCTGCCTTTTAGACAGTACAGTAATCACAAAAAAAGCAGAGTAGATGAGAAAGGCAATTCTGGGGGTTATTCTAGGATGGATATTGAGCAAAATAAATTAGTCACGGAAAGCTTTTATGTGATCACACAGACCCCTTAGCTTTGTAGCCGAAGATAGTGGCTGGATCACAGTCCCACAACACTGCGTTTCATAATTATAGGTCCAAGCTAATTTTTTTGCTGAATCTAACTTGCTGTGGCATTCTTGGGGAAATGCTGCTATCACCAATAGATTCCTCATACTAAAAAACCTCGATAATGTGTTTCTGGCAAACTTCCCCCCCCCCCCCCCAAGTAACCTAAATATCTTTTTCAGAAAGTATTTTCCATGAATATCTAGGGGCCACTCATAAAAAGTTTCCATTTCTCACGATCCGTGAAGGGAATCAGGGAAGCGGGGAAATATGTGGGCTCAGTCGACATCGAGTTTACCATACCTCGTGTTATTCGCCTCTCTTCCCAGTAACAAGCTCAAGCTAGAGCACTTACTGAAGTGGGATAGCTGAGGAGCAGAATTTCCTCCCATGTCGGCCGGCTCATACTGCATAAGCGACTATGTGCAAAATCCTGGTCAGTGCGGAAAGAAGAGTAGTCTAGTCGATAAAACTGCTTTTTATTCAAGATTTGAGAGGAATTTTGCGTCTTCTGTCGAATCATACAAGGAGTCTGAACAAAGTCCGTGCTGAAATGGGCCTTCCGTGAGCAAAATCACCGTGTGGTGAGTAAGCCAGCAGAGCAAGAACATCTTCAGCGGATTGATGAAGCGCGTTCCAAGATTATTTGAGCGCTACAAGATCGCACGTCTCCATTTCTCGTGGAAAACGCCTCAACTAATTGAAGAAGATATGATCGATCTTTGACCATTTGAGATCTTCGACTCTACCAACTTGTTCCGTGCTCCAGTTGATTTGAAAGCGACGTGAAAAAATAAGCCCAGGTGGATCTGATGAAAAAAGGGTACAGGGGGATACCATGAAATAGCACAGATGATTTTAAAGCGACACAATTTCGGCGGAAAATCTCTTATTATTTGAGGCATTTTTGAACGACTGAACGGTTGGAGCTCGCTTTTATTCCCTTTTACGTGGATTCCAGGGTATCGTGAAGTTCCTTGAGAGTGACTTTAAGGCCGCGTTCATAGTTCGCGACTCGGGAGATTAGGATAGTAGGCGACAGGATATTAGGATAGTAGTAGAGTAGGAGATTGCGCTGACAAGATTGGATACGTATCGATTGAAATCGCTGGAGAGTAGTAGATTGGGCGACTTCAAGCGAATAGATCAATACATATCTAATCTTGTCAGCGCACTATCCTAATCTACTACTATCCTAATCTCCTACTCTACTACTATCCTACTATCGTAATATCGCAATCTACTACTCTCCAGCGATTTCAATCGATACGTATCTAATCTTGTCAGCGCAATCTCCTACTCTACTACTATCCTAATCTACTACTATCCTAATCTCCCCGTCAATACATATGTTTTTCATTGTCGCGTACTATCCTAATCTCCGGAGTCGCGAACTATGAAACCATTTTTTTCGGCAACAATCCCTTTGATCTTTGACTTTTATGCACAATAACGCGGTTATCCATGCCGGTCCTTGCTCGCCAGATGGCTGCAAGAAAAGAAAAGGTGGCAGTTCTACAGTGGCTCGCATGTTCTGTGAATCAAATTCCTATACGTCTTGGTGGTACCTGTAACCTTTGAGTCTCCTTCTTTTTCAGACTACGTGGTTTCAAATTTAATGGAGCGCTTGTGTACCTAACAAAGCTTCTCTATGATGTCGACGTGTAAAATGGTAGCGAGCCAGAGCGCCCTTGTGCAGTGACACTTGTATGTGGCTGGGCAACTCATCTTTGAGAAACCCTGTGATTATTATTTTCCTTTTCTCAATAGAAAAGGTAGTATATTTCATCAAATCGTGCTAAAAAGGAAAGAAGAAAGTGAAGAGATTGAGAAGAAGGCGGATTTGACCGTTCGCCGGTTACCATAATTTTGGCCCCCCGTACATGCATACTGGGATTTGCCACATGTGCCTTCAAGCAAAACTTGAATGTACAACCTATAATCTAAAGAATTTTCACAGTTACCTGCTGAGCACCCCCTTGCAGTCATGGTTGAGTCCTGGGCCTCCTGCGGAAAGCACCAACTGTAGTCATGGTTGAGCCTGGGCCTCCTGCGGGAGCACCAACTGCGGTCATGGTTGATCCTGGGCCTCCTGCGGGAGCACCAACAGCAGTCATTGTAGATCCTGGTCCTACAGCACCAACTGCAGTCATCGTGGAGCGTCCACCTGAAATCTAAATTCTCAGGAATCGCAGTCCGGACTAATATGGTAGCCAAACCTTTTACCTAGCTTTTTCTTTCAACTCATGTCTGTTTAGCAGTATTCCGTTCTATGTGCAGCTTCTCGTTCACTTCCGCTGCATCAACATTTGTATCCATATGCCCGGCAACCGACGTTTGACTATCCATGTACCGCGAATAATTAGTTCACGCACCCGGACTTCTGCTACGCATCTTATTTACTTTGGCCTTATCTTCACCGCCCGATGATCTCGATTCAGAATATCCCGCCGTCCTCTTCCCGGATCAAGTAGAAACTGATGTACCGTGCACGATGAAGGGTGTGGCTCGAGGTAGAGTGCGCAACGTCCCATGTGGGTTCAGGTCTGTTCTACATCTTTGGTTTGAAACAGCTGGATCGCCAACGATGGTTGCCTGACGTGGACGTCTTCGAAACAAGGCCTGATCCGCTGTTGCGCTGACTGGTAAGCGACTTTTCAGCCAAGCAACGAGATCCACAGTTCCGTCATTTTCGAAACGCGTGGTCTCGGTTCTCTTAGCGCGCACATGCTTTTCTGAGTTTTGTTGAGAGTTGAGAGTGCCTCGCCGTGATTCTCTGCTGCTGACCACATTAGACTTGGATCACTACAGAGCTGTGACGGAATATGTTTCTAGTGGTCATGTCGAGAACGCTCCAAATGGCGGAGCATACGTTGTGGTGAATGTGTCCATTTTCATCCTCTTCCTCTCGATTCAGCCGCTGGTAGTTGGCAGGCAATAGGTCTAGTGTGTAAAATATTTGCAGCACAATTTTGTAGCTCAGCTAGTTCAACTTGTGCAGTGCTGGAAGTGCGAGATGGGGCTGCGCAACAGTGGGAAGAATGGTCGGCGGCACCCAATTTTCGACTTCTTTGGGTTTTTACCCTCACGCTATGTTTGAAAATCTTGTGTCGGTTACGCCCAATTCAGAAGCAGCTTTTCAACAGTTTCATGCAGATTTGTTTGGTCAAAACCCTCAGCTGATCTTTATCAGTCTCCGATATCACTAATCTCCTTCGAAGCTTTCAACATCGCGAGAAAGACATTTTGAATTACGACTGCACAGCGTATTTTTTGTGGACTCAGAACCAAATGCTCAGTTGATATCGCAACTTGCTTCCGCACATTTCCGAGCAAGTTTGAGGGGAAACAAGAAACTAGTGCAAAGCAGGCTGTTGAGTATGTTGTATTCAAGACTTCAAAGAAAAATTGGAAAAGTGATTCAGGGTTAAAAAACAGTAGATTATAGATAGAGCGAGAAACGCGCTTTCTGAAGATATATAAAGCATTAGCAGTTTCTCGAAAGTGACCCAGAAATAAAGCATCAAAAGTGAGCTATAAAAACGGCGGAAACTTTCCGGACAATCCAATACCATACCTCGTGTTACTCGCCTCTCTTCCCAGTAACAAGCTCAAGCCAGAGCACTTACTGAAGTGGGATAGCTGAGGAGCAGAATTTCCTCCCATGTCGGCCGGCTCATACTGCATAAGCGACTATGTGCAAAATCCTGGTCAGTGCGGAGAGAAGAGTAGCTTAGGTAAATAAAGACTGCGTTTCCTTCAAAATTTAGGAGGAATTGGGCGTCTTCTCTCGAATTATACAAGGAGTCCGAACAAAGTCCGTGCTGAAATGCGGCCTTCCGTGAGCAAAACCACCGTGTGGTGAGTAAGCCAGCAGAGCAATAACATCTTCAGCGGATTGATGAAGAGCGTTCCAAGATTATTTGAGCGCTACAAGATCGCACGTCTCCATTTCTCCGTGGAAAAGGGCTCAACTAATGAAAGAAGATATGATCGATCTTCGACTCTACCAACTTGTTTCCGTGCTCCAGGTGATTTGAGAGCGACGTGAAAAAATAGCCTAGGTGGATCTGATGGAAAAAAGGGTACAGGGGATACCGTGAAAATCGCAGATGGTTTTAAAGTAACGTAATTTCGGCGGAGAATCCCTTATGGTTTGAGGCACCTTTGAACGACTGAGCGGCTAGAGCTCGCTTTTGTTTCCTTTCACGAGGATTCCATAGGGTATCGTGAAGTTCTTTGAAGCGACTTTTACCATTTTTTCGACAACAATCCCCTCGAATCCTTGATTTTTACGCACGATAACGCGGCTGTCCATGCCGGTCCTTCCACGCCAGATGGAATTGCAGGAAAAAAAAAGGTGGCAGTTCTACAGTGGCTCGCATGTTCTGTGAATCAAATTCCTATACGTCTTGGCGGTACCTGTAACCTTTGAGTCTCCTTCTTTTTCAGACTACGTGGTTTCAAATTTATTGGAGCGCTTGGTCGTTACCAACAAAAGCTTCTCTATGACGTCGAAGTTAAATGTAGCGAGCCAGAGCCCCTTGTCAGTACACTGTATTGTGGCTGGAGCACTAGCTTTGAGAACCCTGTGATTTATTATTTCCTTTCAATAGGAAAAGGTATTATATTTCATCAAATCGTGCTAAAAAAAGGAAAGAAGAAAGTGAAGAGATTGAGAAGAAGGCGGATTTGACCGTTCGCCGGTTACCATAATTTTGGCCCCCCGTACATGCATACTGGGATTTGCCACATGTGCCTTCAAGCAAAACTTGAATGTACAACCTATAATCCTAAAGGAATATTGTCACATTACCTGCTGGAGCACCAATTGCAGTCATCGTTGAGCCTGGGCCTCCTGCGGGAGCACCAACTGCAGTCATGGTTGAGCCTGGGCCTCCTGCGGGAGCACCAACTGCGGTCATGGTTGATCCTGGGCCTCCTGCGGGAGCACCAACAGCAGTCATTGTAGATCCTGGTCCTACAGCACCAACTGCAGTCATCGTGGAGCGTCCACCTGAAATCTAAATTCTCAGGAATCGCAGTCCGGACTAATATGGTAGCCAAACCTTTTACCTAGCTTTTTCTTTCAACTCATGTCTGTTTAGCAGTATTCCGTTCTATGTGCAGCTTCTCGTTCACTTCCGCTGCACACACTATTGGTCATATGCCGGGGAACCCGTTTTACATAATTATCGAGAATAATGAGTGAACGCACCCGGTATCATTTCTGCTATCTTTATTTACTTTGGCCTTATCTCCACCCAGCCCGATGATCTCGATCTCAGAAATACACCGCCTCTTTTCAGGAATCAAGCAGAAGACTGATGTACCGTGCACGATGAATGGTGTGCTCGGAGGTTAGAGTCGCAACGTTCCCATGTTGTGTTCAACTGCTACATCTTTGTGTTTGAAAAGCTGGATCATCAAGATGGTTGCTGAGTGGACGTCCTTCGAAACAAGGCTGATCACCGCTGTACGCTGAACATGGTACGACTTTTCAGCCAAGCAACGAGATCCACAGTTCCGTCATTTTCGAAACGCGTGGTCTCGGTTCTCTTAGCGCGCACATGCTTTTCTGAGTTTTGTTGAGAGTTGTGAGTGCCTCGCCGTGATTCTCTGCTGCTGACCACATTAGACTTGGATCACTACAGAGCTGTGACGGAATATGTTTCTAGTGGTCATGTCGAGAACGCTCCAAATGGCGGAGCATACCTTGTGGTGAATTTCTTCCATTTTCACCCTCTTCTGTCTCGATCCAGTCCCTGGGATTCTAGGTGTGGTTGTCATGAAACCTGAGCTTCTCAACTGCAGTAGTGGCTTTGTTCAACCAGGGCGTACGGGTGGAGTAGGAAACAAATTATAGACGGAACTCGTGTCGCACTCCTGTCATCAGGTCAACTCATGAGGGAATCTTTGGCGAGGCTTCAACCATTTTACGAAGGAGCGAGAACCTCTACGCATTGTGCATCTGGAACACCAGGATGTGGTGGCCACAATAGCAGGTTGCCCCGTGTGGATTGGCTTCAACGAGAGAGTGTAGCTTGTCAAGTCCAACACCGATATCTGTCCTAAACTAGGGTTCTTCTCAAAGCTGTAGTCTCTTAGGCAAAGAAGATCCATCCATTCTGAAACTGACAATGGCAAAGAGGTATATCGCTAAGCAGACACGTGCCCCTATGACAGAGCTCCATTTACTGAAAGAGTTTCCTGGTGAGAGTTACGAGGTGTCCAAAGCGCGGGTCTTCTTTTGATAAGAGAAGCCAACCCCGATTGAAATGACAGCAATGCAACGTGATTTGAAAGAGCTTGCTTGTAGCTATTTCACGGTAGGAACTTTGCTCAGTTCGGTCGCTGGGAGACCCTATTAGGTACTAATGAAAACAGAACACCGGAATAACTTCTAGAAAATTTGAAGTCTTAGCCACCAAAGCAATGTGCCAAATGGCTAACTAGCTTCTTATATTGCCCATAGTGGTTGCTACGGCGCAAGCCACAAACCAAGTCTTCGAAATGTTTCGGAATTTTCATGCCATTAAACAAAAAGTGGCTCAAAAAGTTGTCAAAATGTCAGAGGCCGAAGGAAGTGAAAGATGGCGTTTCCGTGGCCAAAAGCGCACAAATTGAGCGCGCAGCAGATGCCAATCGTTTCTGACAATGAGCTCGCCTCCGCTGCCTGTGCTCGCCCATCAGTGTTGCTAGCACTATCACTGTTCTGATCCCTACTATATATTAGGCGTTTCAGAAAGTTCTGTCGTTTTCCGACCCCGAATTTTAAATGCATGTATCTCGGCATAAAGTAAACCTTTCAAGCTGATTAAAAACCATTCGAATGCGCGAACCTTTCTCTATAAGAAACCGTTCTACTGGGTACGTTTGTTCAGAATGCTGGAGCTCTGGAGGCGATGAACTGAGGGAAGGTCGTTTTAGCATCATGTTGGGTTTTGATGCATTTCTCTTCAAGGAAGCTATCGAGATCGTCAGAAATGTGACAGTAGATAGTTCAAAGGTCTACTAAGTAAGATGTTCGCAGAACCACTCTGAAGTTCAGCTGGTCCAACTTGTGAAGGGTTGGCGGTGCGATGTGCGTCCAAGACACCTTTCAGGGATGTGTCCACCCCTTTATAATGAGGAATGCTGGACCACATGTCTTGGAGTTTTTGGTGAATTTTGACGTAATGTTAAGACTGCTTTTCCACTGTAACAGTTCCTGGTTATGCGGAAGAACCAGGCCAGCCGTCGACCTTATGAAAGTTGCCATAAGTTTTGCACAGTTTGTAGAGCTCTATCGCCGTCGAGCTATTCAGCAAAGCTTCGTGGACTGTAGAGAAGAATCCGCTCTTTATTGTACGTCGCAAATCTGTAGAAAAACGAGTCGCTTTTATCACATAAAACAAGCTACAATTTGATGGACGACCCTTCAAATTGGTGATTTGTCGCGGCACGCCCCTATCAAATTTTTTGGACTTTCCAGCTACTTCCGTATAGCTTGGCTCTACAAACCATATACGCCCAGGTTGGGCAGAACCTCTATGGTCTTACGCACGAGTGCCTCAATCAGAACTTTTGGCTAATCGGTGGCAACGTCCGATATCGACCACCACTATCATACCCAAGGCTCTCGCTTTCGTTACAATAACTTTTCGAACTACTGCTTCTGAGCACATTTATTGCGAATCTAGGCCAAGTGCATCGTTAATATCTTGAACTGTTCCCGCTACTTTCAGGTCTATTCAAAGCTAGAAAAAGAAAGTCATGCCAACTTGCTCATCGAGTATACCGCATTCAGAGCTTTGAAAAAGCTATGAGAAAATGTTTTAGGACAAAGCTAAGCTAAGCATGAGATAGAGCAGGAAAAGCTCTTCAAAACGGCATTCATACCGATTGCAGTTTTTCTGGGTTTCAAAGAAAATAAGAGCATCCAAAAGTGGAGTGTCAAAAAACGACAGAACTTTTTGAAACGCCTAATATAATGCGCTAAGTCTGTCTGTCTGTCCGTCTGTCACGAAATTCGGTATTAAGCGAACAACAACCTACAGGGTCCAGGTCAAGTTTGGGATGGGTGTACCATATCTCGAGAAGTAAAAAACACACACCTAAGCGGAGCCCCGCCCACAGTGGGCGTGGCGTGCGTCGAAATGAGTGGTACTGAGGACCATGATTTCAAATTCAGTCACAAAACAGCCTCGAGACTGGGGACAAAAGTGGGTATATAGGTGTGCGTTGGTAAGCCCTCGGTGGGCGGGGCGTTCTCTAAAAAAGCGGTGCTCAATGAAAATATTCATAACTCGGTTAGGAGAAAGCCTACAGAGCAGAAAAAAATTAGTGTAGGGAGCAATGTCTAAGGTATTTCCAGCATACATGATGTGAACGGAGGCCCGCCCACAATGGGCGGAGCGTGCGTGAAGTAGACAGCGTTTTCTACAAGAGCTCATAAATCGGCTCCGAGATGACTTAGAGACCGGAAAACAGTGGATAGAGGTCAGGAGGAGGGAGGAGAAGCTAAATGTCAAGGCTGGGCGTGGCTTACACCAAAGTGGGCGGAGTTTGCAACCAGCCTCATAACTCGGTTCCTAGGAGTCCCGGGGTGTGGGAAAAAAGTATAAGGGTTGGCAGAGGGAAGGGGGTCAACCGCTGTTGGCGGGCGGAGCATGCGTTAAAGTGGGCGGGGTTTGCCACGAAATTT